AATTTCAGCTACAACTCGCAATGTATAATTCAAACTACTATAGATGCATTACAGTTACAAGAATGTCATGAGTTGCATGGCTATAAATCAATTATACATATAGAAATATTATGGTCATAATATTGGCATTCCAACCATGCACTACGAGCAAATATATATATATATATATATAACAATAAAATTAAACTTCCACTTATCATTCCATGAATATAAAAATATTTTGGAGTAATTTCCTTGATTACACGTCAAGACATGAAAGAACTCATAATTGATATAACCAAAAATGAATAGAATGATTAAGAGTTAATATATTTACAATGCCAAGTTATACCACCATGCGATAATGCAACATAATCATAAGCAATCACATAAATAAGACCATTATATAGAAAAAAACGAAACTATTTTACTAAAGTTTCTCCTAAAACAAACCTATTTGGAGATATTTTATACCATAGGAAACCTCTCGACTAGACGAATCTCTTGAAATCCTCAAAGTCCAACTATTAGTTTTTTTTCTAGAATTTAATTAATCAAATTAAATGAAAATTGTTACCTAACTTTCAAAACAACATACGGAATAAATCTGAAATTACACTGAACTATAAAGTGAATAATTAAATTCACAAAAATTTCGAAGGCCCAATATTATTCCTTGTTCCTTGTAAAGGTAATCCCATTCAAATAAAAAATTAGTAGTCCAATTTACTAATTCCAATTTATTTTATTTGTTCGTATTAGATATCCTCATTTCTTGCTTAGGTAAACCTGCAAAAAAAGTTAGCAACAAAAGAAAACAAAAAACAAACAAATCAAATGAAATAGTAAGAGTCTTACATAATAAAATTCTTATTTTATTTTTATAAACTCGTAGGAACTTAAACACTAACAATCCAATAACTCATGCAATAATAACTAAATAACATAAAATTTGTGACGACCGAGTGTACGAGTCGCTCTGTATCCTTTTGTTTCCATTGGGTTTGGAGTGTCCAGAAATTTTGTTTTCAAACAAATCCTTGTTCTTGTTTATTCGGTTTCGAATTCCCCTAGTTCTGGGGAGTGAGAGGTCAAGTCCGGAGTGCCAAAATGGAGCTGAGAAAATTCAGGGCAGCTGGGCTAGGGCCGCACGTGCGGGGGCTCAGGGCCGCACGTGCGGGGTAGGGTGAGTTGTGGAGGGTTGCACATTGCCTAAAAGGCAGGTGTCGAGTGAAGGGCGGAAAAGACCACCGCACGTGTGGGGGTGAAGGCCGCACGTGCGGGGAAGAGTGTCGCACGTGCAGGATTCTAGGCAGCCGAATCTCTGTTTTTTTTATTTATTTTTATCTCTTTTGGCCGAGTTTGTATTACATTTGGGGCCTTCCTCTCTCACTTTAAACATTATTTTTCTCTTCATTCTCTCTAAAAACCCTCATCAAACACTAAAACTCTTTGATTTCCTTGTAATCCATTGAGTATAGAGTCATCTTCCCTCACTAATCTTGGAGATCAAAAGCTAGAGTCTCACATTGTGTGGTGGAAATCAAAGATCTCTCATCCTTGATCCTAGGGTTTCATCTTCTCCTCTTTATCAAAACTTGAGGTAGGGACTTCCTTGAGTTATATATACATGTTTTGCTAGATTGATGTTGATTTTAAAGTTCTCTTGAAGTTATTTTGAAAGTTTGGTTTTTGGCTCAAGAATGTAGAGATTTTTCAAAAAAGGGTTTAAAAATTTATGTTTCAAAGTTGATCCTTGAGGGTTTCACTTTCATTAATTTAAGGAAGATGATTTTGGTGGGTTTTCACTAAAGAAATGGAGAGATGGTTGGGTTTTTAATGAAAAACCCTAGAAATTTGGGATTTTGGGAAAATATGGAAGAGTATAGATTTCTTTCTTTCCTTGTGATAAAAGAATGAATGAGGGTAGATTTCATAGTATGTTTTGCAAAATGGTAATCTTCTTGATGTATGAGAATTGGGAAATTATTTTAACATTATTGTTAAATACATAAATATGTATAGTTGTAAGGTGCAAAAGTGTTGTGTACCATGGATTGTGAAAATTGTAAATCTTGGAGATTATTGTTTGAAAACATCACATGTAGTCTTGAAGAGACTAAATTGTTAAGAATTGTGCATGATGAGATATTGTTGCTATGTGTTGATGGCATATGGTTATTTTATGAAATAACATTGAAGAGAGGAAATGAGAAATGTAATTATTTGATATTGTTGTCGAGATACTTGAAAATGGAGAAATGCTATGAGGCATGGAAGATCATTGCATTGCATTCGCATGGAATTAATTATTTTGCATTGTGAATTTAGTTTGGAAACATTTACTTCAAGAAAAGTATGTATTGTAATAAGGACTATGGAAATGTGCATGGGGTAAATACGTTGGTAAGTCCAATTAGGAGGTGTAGATGAATTGATAAGTTGGTCTGACCTGTAACAGACCCGCCCAACACAACCTATACTTCAAATACAAAGAGATTAAAGGACAACAACAACCAATAAGTAATGACAGGATCCACGGAACCTAAGTCCGGATACAATAATTTAAAGAGAAAAGACCGGGGTCGTTATAAACTTAATAGTGCTCGTTTCATACAAATGATATTTCTTGGATATTCATTGTTTGAAGAGTAAAAACATGTTTCCTTGCATATGCAATCTTAAATCTCTCTCCTTCATTTTAATCAGCATACATCAATTGCACATAGCATGCTTCACAAGTTTGATAGTCTGATAGTTGGTCCAAATGTATCATTCATCCTAAGAGTGCCTGTAATGCTTCTCCGATACACTTTTCGATCTAACTAAATTAATAACTAATACTAATAATTTTTGCATCCTACTTCCCTAAAGTTTCTCTTACTCCAAATAATATAATTATGTGAAGTTATCCATGGCATCTAAGCTCAGTAGTATCACTTAGCCACCTTGTACCCAAATCCCCTAGTCTCTATTGTCTAAATTTTTGAAATCAAATCTCCACATTTCTCTAAGGGGATTATCTCTTACTAGATCTGAAGTCAGAGTACCAGTCCAATGATTAAATTCCAGCTTCATCATCAAACATAAGATTATAATTAGTAGGAACCCTTCAAGAAATTAGGAGGCTAATGAGTATGATCATCAATGGCATCTAGTCTGATCAAACCTGAAACAACATATATTATTTATGACATGAAAAGGAGGTTTAACGGCCCAAGGAAATTTACCCTTCAGCATCTTTTCCATGCTCTTAATTTACAACGCTGCCGCAGATGCCCCTGATTAGAGTAACCGGACCTGGGAACCCAATTAGTATTGTGTGTTGGGCACGAAGTGTTTGAAGAAAGGGATGAAAATGGGATGTATAAATTACAGTTGATGATTATTTTGAACATAGTTCTATGGGTTGATTCTTGATACTGTAATTAATGGGTTATAGAATGGAAATAAGTTATTTTTCTCTAGCTTAAGTACTTAACTATAACTGTGTCGGGCACTATAAACAGAATTGTGATGTCTTCTCTTTTAAGTAATACATCTAATCTTTTCCCCTAAGAAAGATCTTCATGAATCTCATTTACTAGGGAGTTTGGACATCCAACAAAATTGCTACCAAGGCCCCATTCTTCAAATAAGATCCATTGCATAGAAACTGAAGATTTGAAGCCCCTTACCCCTACATTGTACACTTTACACACTTTGATTCGTTTCATATCCCCTCTTGAGCTGCTTGAACTTGTGCTTTGGATGTTTTCTAGGATTGACCATAGTGAATATGCACTTCAGGTATCATCTAAAATTTCTGCTCTCTCAGTTGGATTATGGATTGCTGATTGTGCTTTTGATATGCTATCAGCTTATTTACAGCAGCCATATACTAAAGGAATATCATACAATATGTTTTGGGGAATGGAGGAAAAGAATTTTGATGTTCTTTTGTTTGAGAATATTTATTTTGAAGTTATTGAAATTGCCATGTGTTTTGAGCTAGATGCTGCAGATCTATGTTTGTTGAAAGCTGTTAATGTCGCAAACATACATAAAGTAATGCAAAACCAGCACATTCTGAGGTATTTGTCTGACTACAGTGAAGCTGAACTCCTCTTATGGCATATTCACCCAAAAACTCCTCTTATGGCATGCTGCAGTTTTCAATTATTTGTTTATATAATTTGTTATTGTCATTATTGTTGTTGTTATTATTGTTATTATGAACTTATCCATGGCCCAGTTGCAATTCTGATTAATTTGTTGATTTTATTCTACGCAGACACCTTATGCAAATGTTGAGAAAATACGAATATATGATCATGTTTTCATATTGCACTTCTCAATTCATAGTCCGTCAATGGGTTACATTGAGCCTATGGAGTTTGCTAGTTTAGGGTTGCTCGCAATTGCATTCATTAGCATATCTTCACCACATGATGAGATGAGGAAATTGGGTTATGAGGCTCTTGGAAGATTCAAGACTGCATTAGAGGTACTTCTGTCTTTCATCAAAATTGCTGTTTATGGAATATGCTGTGAATACTGCAAAATTTTTCATAAATTTGGGTTGTTATTTGTTCTTCCTATTGTGTGTGTAATGTTAACAATTCAAGCTGGAATGAGGCTGCATTAGCGTTCAGTGTGCGATTGTGGAAGCACTTGCTTTTAGGAGGGTCAAAGTTTTGGAGTTTGTAGGAAACATCTGACTGCACCCCAAAACTCAACTCTATGTTGGTGATCTGTTTTCTCTAGTTTGCTCTATGCAAAAGCATGCTTACATATACATATAAGTAGATCAATCAATAGGGCCAGCTAAGCTTTGAGGCTTGCCTGTTCAACCCATACAATTCCAGGCCAATATTAAATTGGGAACGGGCTGAGTTTGGACAAAGTTAGGCCCAAAAGTGAATTCAGCTGAGTTTGGGCAATAAATAGCTCAGCCTGTCCAAGGTCTGGCGCATTTTATATAAATGTACAAGTGATAATTTGAAGTTCTAATTTATTTATTTATTTTTATATTAGCCTAAAAAATAAAGAATTGTATATATCTTTTTTTTTTTTGGCCAATACATAATTACATAGATACATATGTGTTACTTAGAGAATTTGTATAGGAAAATATTCTATGTACATAAAATGTAAGAGAGAGAGAGAGAGAGAGAGAGAGAGAGAAAACATAAAGTGGGAAGTATTCTACAAAACTATGTATGAGAATTTAATTATTGTTAAGTCAAAATCATAGATAAAAAGGCATTTTTGCCCATTCCTTCTCCTACCACCCTGTCCCTTTCTTTCTGCTAGCTTTAACACCTTGGCTTTCATCACATGCAAGCACACAAAATTTGTCCAGAGAGTTGGAAATCCACACACACACACATATATATAAGTGCCATATTGGAGGAAAATAATATGAACCAGAGTGTGCAAAAAAGTTTAGTGCATATATTTAGTGTGCCGCTTCCTTCTCGGCACGAATCAACCACCTGACATGAATCATTAAAATACACATCGCCACATTGGTTGTGAAAAATGAATTAGAGAATGTGGCAATGGTGATGGGTATTTTAAGGGGAAGGGGTGGGGGTGGGGGACTAGGGTGGGTTTGGGAGGCAGTAAGGGTGGATTCAAGTGGATCGGGCGTGGCGACAGGAAGGGATATACATGCACAAATATGGCTTCTTCTTTCCCCCCCCTGTTTTTGTTCGATCAGTAAATAATTTCCTAAACATACCTTTTAAACAAAAGTTTCCATTTAATGACTTAACGTTAATGTATTTGTCATTTACATTTCCAGCTGCTGTCATCCAGTATTTTGTAGTGTTGGAGGAACCTTTTTTTTAATTTATTTTATTTTAAATTTCAGCTTAATTGTTGTAAACATATGTGGTCTGCCTTTCTTTCTTTCCCACGTTGAGAGAGAGAGAGAGAAAAAGATGCATAATTTTCTTTTATGCGTCAAATTATCTGTGAAGGTCTTTAATATTTCTCTGTTTTTGTTATTAGTTTTCCTTTAGTATCTGTAAGTTCTTTGTTCATAACGATTTCAAACTATTTATTACAGAGGTGTCAAAAGAGGGAGGGTTTAGTGCGACTTCGGCTTTTGTTGACGTATTTGCAAAATGGTATAGAAGATCCTTGGCAGAGGATTCCTTCTATCATTGCTATGTTTGTTGCAGAGGCTTCTTTCATATTACTGGACTCTTCACCTGATCATTATTTAACCATAAGTAACTTTTTGTTGCGCTCTCCGAGGGTGAATGTGAAGGTATCTGCTTTCTGACTGCAAGGAATCAGATTATGCTATTTTCATTTAGTTTAGCAGTTGGCCTTATAAGGTTTATATGCAATTCATTCATTTCTATTATTCATTGACAAGAGTCATATTCAATTAACTAAGAAATAGCTATATAATTCATGTCCTTTCTGCGTGTAACATGGATCAATTCTGAATTCTTATAGTATTTTTCGACTTTGGTTGCAGTGTATACCATTATTTGAAACTTTTTTTTGGAGCAACACTGTGAAGTTTAGGACACTCAGACTTTGGATACTTCGTCTCTTGTATGCTGGGCTAAATTCAGATGATGATGCTCAAATATATATCAGGAACAACATCCTTGAGATTCTACTGGCTTTTTATGCCTCTCCGCTTTCGGATTATGAGTCAAAGGAATTGATCCTTCAGGTAAATTCTAACTTTGTTTCTCATGCTTGTTACAAGGTTGCTTTGATTTGTGTAAAATATTGATTCACAATCATCACATTGAGGAGAGGTTTTTCTTTCTTCCCCTTTCTATGTTTGTAAATAAACTTAGAATCCAATTATTATTATTTAGCTGTAGCGATTTCCACTTGTTAAAGTATATGGTCTATATATGACTGTTACAACTTTATGCAGATATGTGCATGGAGATGTAAAGCCTGTGAACTTTTTGCTTGGTCCGCCAGGGACACCTGATGAGAAAAAACTGTTCCTTGTTGACCTTGGATTGGGTAAATTTTACCATATACATTTGTTCTCTGCAGTACAAATATAAGACACAGTACGATACTGAATTATGCCAGTTTTTCATTATTCTGACAACACATTTTGACATGCAGCAACTAGGTGGCATGATGGTTCTACTGGTCTACATGTTGATTATGATCAACGGCCAGATGTTTTTAGGTAAGCTAATGTTTCAATAATTTCTTTTAGTTCCTTTCTACTAATGTTTCACTTACTGTTGTTCTTACTTTCACTACTTTAAAACCTAGGTACCCAGTATTTACAGCAATCCTATAAAGTGAGCGGGTCATTTCCATTCAAGTGGATAAATAAAAAATGGAGGGAAGGATTCTATGTAACTGCCATGGCTATTGCAGGAAGTAGATGGGCAATTGTCATGTCTCGTGGGGCAGGATTTTCTGATCAGGTTCAGTTATAATTTTTGGAGCTTTGCTCAGTTAGAAAGCCAATTTTCTGGTGAAGAAAACTCATGGTAAATTGTACAAGACTACTTGGCAGTATAGGCATTTTTGGGAGGATTAAATATTTTTGGTTAGATGTGTATGGATAACAAATATTAGTAGTTTTATTTGTTGATAGCTGTGCATGGATAACAAATAGTTATGTTTTAAATTATTATGCTAGATGGATGTGACTTGTGAATGAAAACTTAGAATAGTTGTAGTGTCGAATGTTAATGAATTATGTATTGTGTCGAATGTTAATGATTCAGTTAATTTGAATGATGCTTTAAAATTATAGGTTTATTATGGATTGAATGAATTATTAGGAATTACAGGTGTATTATTTTCCTGCTTTGGCGACTAATAATTAGTCGCGACATCCAAAATAATTTTTTTTTGCAAAAATAACAATTGCCGACCAAGAGTTTTGGTCGCAAAAAAAACATCTATTGCCGACCAAAATAGCTCTTGGTCGTGGAAACTTACTTTTGCCGACAAAAAGTTTTGGTCGCGAAAAGTAACAAATGGCGACCAATTTTTTTGGTCGTGGAATGTCACAATTGGCGACGAAACTATTTGGTCGTTGAATGTGATAATTGGCGACCAAACTTTTTGGTCGCGAAATGTGTCAATTGGCGACTAAGATATTTGATCCGAAAAATATCACTTTTCGCGACAAAAGTGTTTTAGCGACAAAATGAATTAGTCGCGGAAATTAAATATTTAGCGACCAAAAATTTAGTCGGCAAATCTAACTTTTGCCGACCAACAAAAATTTTGGTCGTGAATCACTTTTGCCGACCTTCAATTGGTGACCAAAGTAGCGACCAAAAAAATTAGTCACGGATAACTTTTACCGACCAAAAATAAACTTTTAACGACTAATTTTTTTATTACCAAAAGTGTTAATTCTTGTAGTGTTGTTACTAATGGAATGGCTCACTCAATATATATATTAGATCCCCAACAACGAGAAGTTATTCCACGGGCCTTGGATACCACGTCAGCAATATATCTTATCAATGGGAACAACACAACGAGGAAAAAAGCCAATACATAGAAGATTTTAGGAAGTTTGTTAATAACTACCACTTTCTTTAAAATTTCATTGATTTGACACACAAAATCAGTAAGATAACATGGTGCATTGGACCTACTAAATAATTTCTCCTCCGACGAGGCTCATTAAGATGATCTGAACAATTTATATTTCACCTCCCTACGCATAAATAATTCATTAGAAAATTAGATTTATTTATTTATTATTATTAATATTTTTTTTGAGGGGGTGTGGATGATTTTGCATGCAAGGAGGTAAAAAATAAATAATTTGAATCATCTTAACGGATTCTATTGTGGGCTCAAAATAACTGGATGTGACGAGCTTAGTCACAAGCCTAATTGGAGAGAAGATGCTATCATTTTTTTTATTTTTATTTTTTTATTATTGCATCTCATATCAATTTAGATTTTAATCCATTTTCATTTATAGTGATTATATTCTTCCAAACTATTATATCTACATGTCTTCGTTCTGCATTAGCAAACTATTTAACATGTGTTCTCCGAATTTATTTTTAATTGTCGTTACTCCAACTGAAATAGTAATTCCATTTTTTTTTTCTTCTCATTCTTAACTAATTGGTTATTGGGTGATGCATGTGGGAATAACTGGGATCTAGTATCAAAGACAAAACGATAAACCCTAAGGATTTTATTTAAAAAAATATAGATATAGGAAGATTACAAAGGAAGGAAAAAAAAAAAAAAAACTAACCAATGAGAACAGTTGTTCATGCATTCACTGCAGTGTATATATATCCTCTTTTCATGGCTCTGAAAAAGTGAAACCCTTTTTTTTTTTTTAGTAGGTGAAAAAGTGAAACCTTAGTTGTATGAAAAATCTCTGCTTGGTTTTGTATTGATCTTTCGTCTTTCCATTGGCATTGCCTTTATATCGTCAAATTAATTGGGTGGTGTTACGAGTACTAATTAGTATATTAGTATTAGTTATAATATTATTATTGATTTTATTTATTATATAAATTATAAATTTTGAAAGAAAATGCTATGGACTATAAATAATTTACTAAATACTTTACCAAATCTCTAATGGGACTTACACAAACCCATATCTGTGTGAGACCCATACCTATGTGAGAGGTTTGATAAAATATTTGATAAATTATTTAGAATTTTTCTAACATTACTCAATATTAAAAATATCTTAAATTATATCACATCATCAATTAATATACGAATTAATATATTAATTAGTGCATATAGTATTAGTCAATTAACTTTATAATAACCAAAGGTCCATTTATTGCTTTATTAATAAGGCAACATGTTCTCTTCGATCCACAAAGTGAATTAGATCGCATTATTCGGGCATGTGGCCTCATCACAGGTCTGAATCATTTATTTTTTAGATCATAACATGCAAATTATTCATGAAATAAATCAATTCGATTTAATAACTATGGTTATTAAATAAATTATTTATTTTTTAAATCATGATGAATGGTCTAGACCTTTTTTTTGATAGATAATGTAATAAACTAATATGGCTATGGTTCTCGTATTGACTTAATTTTTTTCATGAATGATATATACAAGTTGTGATCTAGAAGATGAACGATTTGAATTATACGAGACGTGTGGTGAGCCTCACAGACCCGAATAACAAGTGAAGACAAGTGAATCTTTATTAATAAAAGGAAAATGCTATGGATCCTAAATAATTTACTAAATTTTCTACCAAACCTCTTCACATAGGTGTGGGATCCACACAAACTTACAAGTATGTGGATTCTATACCCATGTGAGAGATTTGATAGAAATATTAGTAAATCATTTGAAGTCTCTAGTATAGCTCTTAATAAAATCTGCACATGCTTTAGATAACTGTTTGGAAGTGTATTATATAATAATGGATAACGGTTTTCTCCAATCCATTTATTTGTATTGGATGGTGCAATTTTTGTTTGTCATCTTAATAATTTAAACTGTTTATTTTATAATTTTTTTGGAAAAGATCATACATGCAAAAAATAAAAATTGATCAAATATTAGTAACTATATGATCAAATTATAAAATTATGCAAAAACCTCAATAGTCTATTTGTTGTCATTTTTCCCCCTCATGATTTATGATATGATCATGTGACTAGCAATCTTTAATTGGCTTGATTTCTTTGAATGGATGATTTTCTCTATGGACTATATAAGATAAATGATTTGTGAGAGGGTAATTTATACTTATAAATTAGGCCGAGTTAGGTAATGGGCCATTATGGGCCACATTGCGAAGGGCTGAGTAAAAAGGCCATGAAGTTACTCCGGCCCAAGAGAAGTGTAAAGTTACTCCGGTCCGCAAGAGACCTGAAGTTACTGCGGTCCCAAAGAGCTTACGATAAGTTCGGTCGTCACTTTCAAAGTTATCCCGGTTTGGACCGGAGTATTGGTTATTCCGGTCTAGACATTCCGTGGTTAGCATTAAGAAGAGCCAAGGTAAGAGCGGTGTATGGAAAAGCCGAGCTAATGTTATCTCGGTCTAGTCTGCAGCTTAGCATAGCTATGCTTACCTCGGTCGTGTTGAAGTCTGATCATGGTAGAACCATCTCACTTAGTTTATGCAGTGAGGGGGAGTGTTGAAGGATAAGCATTATCTTTCAGGAGTATGAATCCTAGGAGGACTCTACATGGAGGACTAAAAGTCCTACTAGGATTGTGCCACGCGGAACCTATAAAAGCTTACAACATCACCTATAGAGAGGTAACACAACTTTGATTCCTGAATACACAGAGCTTTTGTCTACTTGTCTATTTTGCTGACTTAGGCATCGGAGGGGTTTCCGGCACACACCCGTCGGCTAGCTCACGTTTGTGTTTTCAGGGAGTAAAGTGACGACGTTTGGAGGAATGCGGACTTGATCAACAGGACTATACGATAAGGTTTATTTCTTTCCCGCACAATTGGCGCCGTCTGTGGGAATTCAGACAAGAACAAAACCTCTTGATCAAGCTTTTCCTTTTTAGAAGCAATGGCGCACAACGAAGATTTGCCGCAGTCTGCCGTCGACGGACAAACACCAGAGGGGGGTGCAAGACGCGAAGGCCTACCTTCTATCCCTCCCACGGCGGAGTTGGAGCCACAGCGACAAAATCCCAGGAGGGATACAAGGGGGAGGATGAGGACTAACAACCCCCGTCACTCTCGTTCACGAAGTCCTGACAGACAAAGACAGATGATTGATCCTCAAGTTCTGGAGGACCGCGTGAAGGAGCAAGATGAATTAATAAGGAAGATGGCAGCGGACATGAAGGCCATGAAGCGCCAGATGAAGGGAAAAAGAGTGGCGACAAGAGAGGGACGCAAAAGCAAGACGTCCCCTCGCTGCTCAGAAGACCGTGGAAGGCATTCCACACCATCACAAGTAGAGAGTAGAAGCCTCAGGATAAGCGATACTTAATCCAGAACCTCCAGAACTTGTTTCTCCAGGTCTGAAAGAACGAGATCATTGAGGTCTTACACAGAGGAAAGTACCTATCAACCCTCGCGCTCGCACCAGACATCATCCAAGCAGACAGAGTTGCCAAGATCGTCCGATTTGCGAAACATGTTGGAAGAAAAGGCACGATGAAATGAGGATACTAGGGCGCGCAACCTTTGCAGGGTATCTGCCCTTCAGCGGTTGGCTCCTCGGACGCATGGAAGCGTCAAGGTTGGAATGTCATTGCCACGCCCTGCCTACGAACCAACGGACAAAGCATTAGCAAGGCTGCAGACCTCGCCGTTCGTTCCGGCAATTGAAAACGTGCCCCTTCCTTCAGGTTTCCTTCAACCCAAATTCACCACG